GTACCTGTGAAGGAGGGTGACTCCCATATTTGTAGTAGTTATATTACACGGCTTTAGCACAGATAGGGCACGCTCCACGTTTCCGACCCCAGGAGAAGCTGCAGTGGGGTTGCAACGTTATCATTCTGGGGCCCCTCAAAAAGTAGTTCGATTAGCTCAAGGTAAGCAAGGGGCTTGTAGGCGACAGCAAAGAGAGCGGAACCATGTCTGATGGATGGCGGGAAAAAAAAAAAAAAACCCTGATATTATTATTTTCCGGCTGGCGTCAGGAAGCCAGGGTTATCGATTCCCTGTTGCACTAAGAAGGCTCCACTCACGCACCATGCCCCAAATGTCACCCACCATAATTGACGACCTTCACACTTCGAGTAGTAGTAATATTGTAGCTCCGGGTTGAGTCGGATTGAAGACGTGTATTCCTCTCCGCGAAAACCAGTGTGATATTGTTAGACTCTCTGGAAAAAAGGACGAATCGCCAATAGTCTACACTGGACTAAGGACAAGAAGCACAATTCCATCGGGGTCACCAGACATCCCTAACAGATATTGAGTCTCTGATACGTGTGTCTTGGAAAGCACATGAATAGCTAGTTTGCTAATGAGCACGATGGTAGAAATAGTTCTGCGCCGCAGCCGTTAGTGGCGGCCTGAGAATTAGCTGCAAGGAAAGAGAAAAGGTCAATAATCCCATGGTAAGTATTTCCCTCTTGTATAAACCTCGGTATTTGAAGATCCTTCGAACAAGATCTCAGTATATTGATAGGCCTCAGTTGGAGCCAAAACGAAACCACCTATCTCGACGGTTTGGCAATTTGCCCGAAAAGACTTGATCTTTGGGCTGTAACAGCTTGAAATATCCGCGGGCTCGTCCAATCCATCGACTAAGCCGCGACCATCATTGGTCGGGGCGGGGTGGAGAAGCATGGATGTAACCATCATTTCGGTCTCTCAACTACGAATGGCAAAGGGGAAAATGCAATCGCAAGTGCAAAAATGCACAATCAGAACTATCCTTGGAAACTTGGCCTGATAGTTTCAACGGGCATAAATTCTGCCTGGGCAAATCTCCATGAGCGGTCAATCGATTCAGTTTGAGCTTGCCGTGATATGAGACCATGCATTGAACGATGCCACTAATTATCCTTTTTCCCTGCTTATCCTAGGGGACTTGGTTTCTGCGGTTGAAAAATTCTCAGACTGTTATTCGCCAAACTTCAGCCCAAATTAGTGGGCCCGCTTCGGGAAGTCAAGGTGTGGATTGTGGCGGACTTTGCCGCTCCGTCGCAGAAATCTAGCCGAGCACTCATTGTAACATGCCATGTTGGGAGAATCTGCACTGGTCACAGTTGTTCTTAGAAACTTAAAACTGTCTTTGTGTCGGAATGGATATCAACAATAAAAATGGTTTTTTGTTTCTTCTGTTTCATGAGAAGCAGGTAAGTTTCGTCAAGAGAAACCATCAATTCCCCTCCATTTATCAAGGGTTGCAAGCAATTGCTTTGGGGGGGGGGGGGGAAGAAACAAAAGAAAAGAAAAAAGAAAAAGAAAAATAGCCGTTGAAAGGCTTGTTAGTGATGAAGCTTTCAGCCTCGGGTGTTGTCCACGTAGGGGCTCAACTGTGTGGTTAGTTAAGTCCCTTATTCAACCCAAACAAACTTGCTCGGCATTGACGGCGTTTTTTGCAAAGCAATTGTGTTTACTTTGAAGTCGATCATCCAAGCGTTAATGACACAGAAACAGCAGAAGTCGCACTGAATGATCACTTCGTACAGTAAAAAGTAAATGTTAATTCTAGATGAAATGAACTTGGATGCTCTAATGATTCAGAGGCTGGCATGGCAGTATAAGAAAAGAAAAGAAAAAGAAATACCAACGAGAGAATTGAACTCGCATTGGAAACTTGTATTTTGCCGGCAAGTCGTGGGTAGAGATTGATAACAGCGTGGGGGACATGGATACATAGGTCAAGTGCTATTTATTACCCGCGAGGGAAAAAAATGGAAGACTTCACATCAACGGCCTAGAATTAGAGGGATCCGGATCATCTTGAGAGCGTTGAAGAGTCGCTTGACAGGAATGATTGCAGAGGAGGAATTCGTCAGGAATTGAGCCCCCGATCTCCTTGATATCCGTCAGAGAATCAAAATCGCGTGAGACGAATGGACTTTTCTCCAGATATTTGAGAGGGTTCCAAATGAACATGTGCCTCTCTCATTCCATGTAGCAAACCGAAGTTTCTTGGGTGGTATCCGATTCTTGCCAAGGCCTGATGGTTTTCAATCGCTTAATTCCTTCTTCCATGAAGTGGAGGTCTTCTGCAGATGCTGGGCAGTTGTTGCAACAATGACAAGCTTAAGCCAGGGGACGAGACCTTGGGCCATTATCGCTAGATCATCATCCCCTGAATCGAATTATGCACCCCAAGAGTCTCCGATTTGGGCACCTTGAAGCGGGGTTCCTTGGGGCGCCTACGAGCCTGGGTACGACGTCTTGAAACGGTAACTATGTTGACAAACCTGGGTGGTAAAACCTCAGCTGAGATATCTGGATACAATAACTGTCCGTTCGAGGTTGGAGGCTTGTCGTTTGAGATAGACTACGGAAGACCCAAACACGACCCGTTTACCTGCTCCTTTGGCATGGCAGGCGGGTGGGCAGTAGTTAGTTAGTTAGTATCCATGGTTCCCACCGAGGTCGACCATGGAAAGGCGGCAGCTACACAGTAACTAACCGTGGGAAGCGCCAAAATTGCCTTCTCGCCCCCGGACTTACCAAACGCTCTCGTTAAAACTAACCAGTTGGCTAAGGCACCCCTCTAAGGGTGCTTACTGCCCAAGCATCGCCATCGCCGGTTTGGTTGTCTGCTATTTATTATGGTCGCTATGTCACTCCGTTAACCCTTGGAGGCCAACCTGGCGTCTGATGAAGCCATCGATAAATTAGTTGATACCTGGGTACTCCGTAACCTGCCCGCTTAATTCTGTGCGAGCCACACAAAATTTTGGTTCAGCGCGATACGGGAACTACACGAAAAATATGATAGCGACGGCTGGAGACTGCGGGACTGCAGTTATCCTCACACTCCCTGAGCAGACTCATCATCTGCATGCTGGTTCGCTGAAGGATATACACATTTTGTCTTCCCTGACCCAGGGCCTCCCTGTTTGAAAGCGAACACCCCTGAAATTTTCTCTAACAATGAAACCTCTGATTCAAATCCTCAGCCAAGGAGCAGCTTAACGGAACACGGCTGGTTCCAATCAATATGACAGACATCCCTTTGAGACATCCAACGAAACCGCATGCAATCCATGGATATCCTTAGGAATCATCTTTGTTTCGAGATGATTTTTCCAGGCCTGTTTTGTGCCCGGGCAGCTTCAATTGGATCGGGCTCAATTGTGATCTCACCAGAATGTACAGGCCATATTATGACATGTGCTCCCCGCAGTTTGCCGACTTCGAAGGGCAAACCCTTTAGGTTTGTTGGCCTGGAACCGGGGGTTTTCTTATATCTTCTGGCTTCCCTGGCTACGATGAAGGCGTGGCTTTCTGAAAATACAACCACATTTCAAGTATGATGTAAAGTCTCATGCCTCTTACTTTCCCTCTGGAGTTTCGTCGAGATGAGCTGTATCATCACGCCTTCAATTGGGTTCTACACATGCATTACCTGAAAGAAAGGAGATGAGATCTTGGATCAACCTCGAACGCCTCAAAGTTTTATTTTATTTTATTTATTTTATTTATTTTTCGGATATCGGTAGTTCATACAGAGGAACAAGGAAGACGTTCCTGAGATGGTGTCACAACAGAAATTTGTATAATGTTGCTCTGAATATTTTTGAAATGTCGTAATCAAATTTCCGGGGAACATCCCCGCCCCCATTGGATCCGTCGAAGGATCCCAACCCTGGAGTAACTATAATATGATAATTGGAGATCGTGGGGAGACGGCTACTGGCGGAAACTGGGGTTTAAACGTTCGTTTCGATCTTTACCCCGGCCTATCTATATTTCTGCCCAATCCTAGCAACCAATCTCAGGTTCCCCGCTTAACCCTAGCATGTTAAGTGGTATCCCCATCCCGGCATAATGACAGCATTCTCCATATATTTCTGCTGACATGCGTATATGAGCACGTTGGAGGAAGGATGCAACTCTGATTCACACCAATTCAAACTCCTTTAAGATGCTACCACGAATTCACCTACTCGAAGATGCGTTCTACTAAATATGACAGACAGAAAAAGCAGAATGCACAGTTAACTAGTTACCGGAGAGACCTCCAGAGTATATTTACGACAAAAATACGGGAGTATTCCTTATGCGGATACATGGCATGTAACTAACTTGTTCAGTCAGCATTGGATAAGATGACAGACCAACCAGTCACTATGGATGACACGGAGCATGCAACCGACGTACGTGAGATGCAAAATACACAGTTTCTCCGAAAATCAACTCTGATTCATGATTGATTATATGTCGAGTGTCACAGTAGCATCAGAAGTAGGATCTCACTGGAAATATTGATTTTCATTGGCTTTTCCATAAAGTAGTTCACTTGAATCTCAATTAACTATCAGCAAGAATTCTGCATTCAAACCATATTAATTCGAAGATAGTTAACTATCTCTTTGGCTGATATATGTCATCAAATCATGAAGGGTGTTGTCTGCTTTCCAAACCTCCCTAGTTTGCCATTGGTTCATTTACAGTTAGTTTAAGGTAGAAAATTCCTCACCAAGAACAAATGAATATTCTGGAAGCATTTTAAACCAATTAGCCTTCCCCAGGATGCAGGCTCCTCGGAATCCTTGCCATTATTACCAACAACACAGGACCTTGCTTTAGAGAGGCGATAATATGTATCCCTCACTTGCACAGAGGAAGCTGCCAAATATATGCAAAAATTATTGCCCCACCTCTTCCCGCATTTTTATAATGTATATTCTGTCTGTCCACCAGATGGGTGAAGGCCAATGTCTATAATCACTTTATACATGCTCAACTGCGTTGGCTGCAGGATTAAATTCCATCTCGAATGGATCACTAAATCCCGTAAGCAGGTCATCGAGCACTGGCACTTCTATACCCGAGTTCTCTTCAAAGTTTGGTAAAGCAAGCCCTGAATAATGCACCCCAGCTTCAATTTTCTCTTGCATGCCGCTGCAATTCTCCAAACAATTATCTGCGAGATCCCAAGTAAAGTCCCGCCGGTGACGTTCTAGAGTATCAATCATGTCTCTTGCAAGTTGGAGAGGCATATTATTTCCCCTTGAGTTTCTAGTTCTCAGAACGCTCCTCATTAGAAAGGACGTCGCTGATGTTAACGTGAATGCGTGAATGCATTTGCAGGAATCCAAAATCCGTGCATATGTGACTCATCCAGCTCTTGCACAAAATGGACAATATCCCCACCTGTCCTTTGGGCCCGGAAGTATACCGGGCATTCTGAGCTTTCATCCGCTTGCGCCATCCCCCGATCTCGATCAAGTTGAATATGGTATAGGAGACGTTTTTCAGCTAGATGAGTTAGCTGAAGATTTGGAGTTCTTGGAGTGTTAAGACTAGTTGTTCTGAAGAACAGCTCTACGGATATCATCGCCCAGAGTTTCCTCCCATTGCGCCAGGAGAACCTCGGTCTGTGCGATGGTTTTCTCGAAATGATCCGTAGGAGTCTTTGCGACGTGGCAAATGTACTCTAAATAGCTACCTAGCACTTCGGTAAGGGTGATAAGGGATACAAATACCGATGTCGCAGCTACCTGGGATGGCGAAACATTAGAGGAACACACATTCTGTGAGTTTGGAAGGGGGATATCATGCTGCGGGCGATGAACATGCATCGGAGTGACATATGCTAAGCTACACCTTTTGCGAGCCGTTAACTGGCTCAGTGGATGAAAAAACGAAGGGGAGAGAACAGAGACTCTCTCACCAGCGATTATAGACAACAACCAACCACCAGATCCTTAAGCGAAGCTGCTTTTCTGAAGAGTGCATGTTCCAGTTTAAGGGATCTCGATGTAATCCAATTGAATTGGGAAATGCAACAGCCAGACCCAGCAGCCCTGCTTTGCATAACATTGTTGTACTAGGCCTTCCACCAACATTAAGCATAATCGCCATCACAGTTGACATTCCAGGAGACAGAAATGCTTTCTGAATATAAAGCTTCGCATGCTTGGACCCAGATAAAATTGACATTAGGGCAGCGCATGCTGCGTAGTTTCGGCGAATCTTGCCAACATATTAGAGAGTTGGCATACAGATTGGAGAGCAGTGCTTCGGAGATCTTCCATTGGTGATTCTCGTATGTGTTTTTGAAAGACAATTCATCAAGCATGGGGAAACAGACATTCGCCTTAGCGAAGAAACTATTGGCAATGGCCCGGTCATCAGTTTCATACAGGGTTACTGGAGTATAGGCGAGTTGCCACTCACAGATCTGCCAGATCCCTTGCGTGGGGCTCTATGAGCTTCTATTAATTCGCATTTTTTGGAGGCTCGCGAGGAGTGTGAGGTGACACCCGGGGGACGTTTCCGTACGGTGTCAAATAAGACTGGACGAGCAGTTCGAGTAGATGTATTCCCAAGCGGAACCGCACAAACTAGCCTCCTGCCTCTAGTTGCTGCAGTAGTTGTCAGGTAGTTCTCCAGGATATCACTGTCATCAGCAATGGCTGGGCTAACGATATGAGAACTGTAGTTCCCGCTTCTGCAAATATCCCTACACCCTTCGACGGTGTCTCTTCACGACCTTCGGTATCGGAGCACAATGACTCCAAATGTTCCACTGGGAGCTCTGAGGATATTTCCTTATCTCCAATGGAACGGGCAGATCTCCGATCCACGAGAACTTGTCTCTTGGAAGCCGTCCTTGGTCTTGGCTGATCTCTTCTGCGCACAATGGACTGACCGTCGCGAGGAATTCTGATATTTTTGTTGCGGGAAGAGACAGTCAGTTCCATGGACTAGACACATAGCACATTTTTCCGCGGCATCCTTTGTTGTATAGCGAGACTTTCGTTTCCTGCAAGCGAAACAGTCTGGATGGGAGTGTTGATCGATATGGTCTCCCTTTACGGCTGTCTACAAGATCCCGACCACCACCGTACCCCTCGTCCAGAATCATTTATAGAAGGTCTGAAGAAGCACGGGGCGCTCCCACGAGGGCGTCCATGTCGTGAAAGAACCTCTTGGTGAAAGTGATGGCTAAGAGTTCGCCGCGGTCATCGCCGCGCGGGGCAATAAACTTGAAGTTCCCCGCGCCTAACAAGGTTTGATCTTCCCCGCCCACAGAACCACAGATCTATTGTACCATATTTCTATTCATGCATTCCTACATATCTCCCTTTTTTAATAAAATTTACCACCCTTGCTTGTTTCTCTTTCTTCTCAACACCCTGCAGTGCGCCAGCTTTTGTTAGCCTTTTTTTCATTTCTCAATCATTGCTAAGTTGGACTAAAATCCCGTGCTCCAAAATCCCGTGCTCCAAAATGTCCTTCAACGCTTCAGAATTCTGGTCCAAGACCAATAAACACTTAATGAAGACAGGAATAGCATTTATGCCTGTTGTAATAACAAAAGCCAAAGGATCTAGGCTATACGATGCGGAGGGGAGGCAAATTCTCGACTTTACCTCTGGCCAAATGAGCTCTCTCCTAGGCCATTCACACCCAGAGATCGTTCAAGTGATAAAGAAATCTGCTGAGGAGCTCGACCACCTCCTAAGCAATATGGTCACCATTCCAGTGGTTAATCTTGCAGAACGTCTTGGCCGCTTGCTTCCAGCACCCCTCGAGAAGTCATTTTTCCTAAATACGGGCGGAGAATCCATCGAAGCCGCCATTAAGATCGCCAAAACATATACGGGAAAGTTTGAAATTGTCGCATTTTCTGCAAGCTACCACGGCCTGACGCAGGGTGCAATATCTGCCACGTACTCATTGGGCAGAAAGCATGGCGGCCCTGTCATGCCAGGGCAGCTCTCCTTTCCCGCCCCCCATGCTTACCGTTCGATATTCAGAAAACCAGATGGATCGTACGATTGGGAAACGGAGATGGACTATGGGTGGTCAATGATTGACGCTCAATCTGTTGGATCTCTTGCTGCATTTATTTTGGAACCTATTTTGTCAACAGGGGGAGTCCTTGATCTTCCCAAGGGTTATCTTAAGCGAATATCTACTGAATGCAAAAAGCGCGGCATGCTTCTTATTGTGGATGAGGCGCAGACGGGTGTCGGTCGGACAGGCCAGATGTTCGCATTCCAATATGATGAAGGCGTTGTTCCCGATATTCTGTGTCTATCTAAGACGCTGGGCTGTGGGTTACCTCTATCTTCCGTCAGCACCACTGCTGAAATCGAGCGAGGTTGCAATGAAGCTGGATTCATGTGGCTCACAACACATTACAATGATCCCTTACCAGCCGCGGTTGGTAATAAAGTCCTTGAGATAGTCGAACGAGACAACATTTGTCAACGTGCAGCGGAACGTGGCAAGCAGCTGCTCAACGGTCTTCTCACCCTCCAACAGAAATATTGGTTCATCGGTGATGTGCGTGGCCGTGGCCTACTCCTCGGCATTGAGATAATCTCAGATCCTAAAACTAAAGCTCCAGCTGCTAATCTCGGGAAAACCATTTCAGATAGGGCTTTTGAGCGTGGGCTCTCATGCAATATAGTTACTTATCCGGGCATGGGCGATGTGTTCCGTTTGGCGCCTCCTGTAACCGTGACCCCCGAGGAAATTGAAGAGGCACTTCAGATATTGGATGAGGCGTTTGCTTACGGCACTAATAAGCATGGATTGAAAATTTGATAGCCATTTTGAACTGAGGTAATGACAATTGGGATATCGGAAAGTCTGATTTGCAGATGGAGCACCTTGGAGGGAAATACTTGTTGCAGTAAAATGAGTACCTTGGAGGGGAATACTTGATGCAGTAAAATGAGTATATGAACAAATAGTTGAGAATTATATAAAATCAAAAATCAATTATATCAGCAAAAAGGATTTTCTAGCACTCTATCCTGCAGTTAGAAAGACTTTCAAGAACTCTACTGCTAAGAATGAATTAAAGACAGAGATCTGGTAACTACTATACAAGCTGGATGAGATTCTTACACATCTACATACTCAGCTTCATCCTTCTACCCTCTAAGGCACTTCTTATGAATCTAAGTTATCTCATACTCTTTAAATGTCTAAGAATATGAGGCAGTTATCAGTTCAGAGCAGCAAGATTAAGCAGTATATAGAGTTGATGTCCAGTTCAATCAATCAAATCTTTAATCAGTTGATTAAAGGATGCCAGCTGACCATGCAGAGTTCCTGCTATCTTAGCAAAAGAAAACAAGGAGCTGAGAGCTGCAGTTGAGGAGAAAAAGCGCAAGAAGAAGCAGGCTCATACATTCATAGCTCAGAATGAAGCTTTAACAGCTGAGAAAGAAATCGCCAGAGCTCAAGCAATTGATCAAATCATACAAAAGAAGGTAGGGAATTCAAACTAGCTACCTAGAAAGCGAGCTCTACCACGCTGCAGCAAGTGTAATATAGTTGGTCATACCGCCAGAACCTGCCAATAGACCTAAGGAATAGATCTATATATTTAATATGAGAAATTCTAGTTGATGGTTGCCTAATTCCTCAATTTGCCAAGTTTGATTGGGTGTGGGGTTGTCACGGGAAGGTGATCCATTGGTTATGTTAAGACTAATATTCAATATCAAAAGAGAATCGCTCTAGCAGCTGCAAAAAAAGCTTGCTCACAGTAAAGCTTAGCTAGCTACTTCAGAGCGACATGGGAAAATAAGAACTGAGGTTGCTGCTTGAAGATTAGCTGCTCGACAAACTTAAGTTGCGAAGAGAGCTCAACTAGCAGCTGAGCAAGTCTAATGCTTCTAAATGCTAAAACTAAACACCTATCAAAAGTGTACTGTCAATCTACCTTCAAGTCCTTTACAAAGAGAAGAATTTATTAAAAAAGCTGATTGTGAAGATTCTATATCACTCTCTCACCTGGTAATAGTGTAATTACACGTTTTAATAGAGAATTCATCAAGACCCCCTTTCACTGGAAATTTCTTACACAGCTTTCTCAATTTCTTCATTTTCAACCTTATGATTCTCATGTTCTAGTCCGGACTATTAAGCTATCATCACAATTTTTGAATTTTTGATATACTTTAATACAGTCTATTCAATCTAATAGATATATAATCTTTATAATCTTTAAATATAATAAAGCGTTGTAGGGAAATTCGTGAATTTCGCAGACTAATTGAGAAGTGGTAGAAGCGTGGGTTTAGTGGCGGATAACGTTACATTTAACATAGCCCTCGCAGATACGATAACTACGATATCTAGTTTCGCACAAACCTACGATAAAAATCAGTTTAGCATCATAAGATAAAATGATAGTTCTCCACTGTGATAATACGTAGTTAAGCCGTCGTATATTACACACAGAATCGTCCAAATCCTAGCTCTCTCTATTCCTTTACATCGAGCGGGGAACATATGCTGAAGCTCTGGGATCAAACCCACCTTACCTACAACAACACAACTGCGTATTTACATAGATACTCGAAAACAGATACCCACCACAGCCAAAATCGCAAATGGACACTAATCCCAAACCCACTATACTGTTCGTGGGTAACACCATCCGTTATGCTACAAACCAATGGGAAAAATTCCAGGAACGCTTCACAATCATCCCTTACACCTCTCAGTCCAAAGCTGAATTTATCAGCAACCTCCAACCAGGCGGCCCCTACTCGACCATTAACGGCATCTTCCGACCCTCAATTTTAAAACCACAGATGAACCTTCCTCTACTAGACAAGGAGTTAATTTCCCACCTGCCTACAACCTGCAAGATCATCGCTTCCGCAAGTCATGGGTACGACGGCGTTGATACCGAGGAGCTGGCGCGGCGGGGTATCTGGTACTGCAACGGTGCCGGCGGGGCAAATGATTCCACCGCTGATATTGCGCTATTCCTAATCCTCGCGGCTTTCCGATATACAACCTTTACCGAGAGTAGACTGCGCGAGATGCGCGAAGCCAAATACTTCCGCGTCGAGAAGGATGTGATTCCCTGTTCTAACTTGACACGCAATCGTATACTGGGTGTTGTGGGGATGGGAGAAATCGGAGTACAGATTTCACTTAGGGCCCGGGCGTTTGGGATGAAAATACATTATTTCTCCCGAACGAGAAAGGGTGCTGATGTTGAGGCGTCGCTGGGTGGTGCGATTTATCATTCCACCTTGGAAGGGATGCTGGCGGTGGCGGACTGTCTCGTGCTGGCGTGCCCGCATACGCCAGAGACGCATCATATTTTGAATCGGGACACGTTCGCCGTCATGAAGAAGGGTATGCGGGTTGTGAACATTGGGCGGGGTAAGTGTATTGATGAAGATGCCCTTGCAGATGCCCTTGAGACTGGAAAGGTGGCGGGTGCCGGCTTAGACGTTTATCATGATGAGTAAGTGCCTTTTTCCCTCTACCTCTTAGATATTTTTTTTTTTTTTCGAATGTGGGATGTTGGGCCGTTTCCTAATAGAGGTTGTGTGAATATAGGCCTGTCATTAACCCTAGGCTGTTGGATAATATGAGGATAACTTTGCTGCCGCACATGGGGGGTTGTTGTGCTGACACTTATGAGGTGAGAAAACTTCTCGTCTGTCAAATGCCACGATTAGCCATTCCATGGCAGCTGATATTTGTATTATTCTTTTTGCATCCATGTAGAATTTCGAACGAATTGCGATGAATAATCTTGAGGCATATTTCCACGGCGACGGCAAACCTATCACACCGGTTAACCACGTTCATGAATAATTTATACAGAAGCAGGAATGGAATGCCCGTATCCTTATCGTCAAGGATCGTTCTGCTTGTAGTTAGCATACTATAAGAATTTAGACGCATCCTCTTCATCTCTTTGCCCTAGATA